GATGTTTTTTTAAGACCCCAATTTCAATAGTAGGTACCTGGACGGGACACAATGAAGCGACGGTTACGTCCCAGAGAGCTTTAAATCTTTTACGAGGGTGTTTTAAAAAGTAGTCGTCGAAAATAAGAGAATGGATTTTTCGACAATAATTTAGATAGGGTACTGGGTTATGCATGTAAGGTTGTGGAGAAGGCGATGTAATTCACTAGCAGCAAATTGGTCTATCGGGTTCGGATCAACGGATCCTAAAAACTATATACAGGACGTTGAATCTGGTCTAGGGACTTACTAAAGGTGGCCTAGACATGATCCGAAAAGCACGGGTAAACAGAAAGAAGTTATTGCACGAAAGGAAGAGATTTTAGTGCAAGGAAGATAGAGGATAGAGTGTGGACATATCAGATGTACGCCTAATTTATTTACGGATTTGTCATTCACGACAATGAGTGCTGAACCTGCGTTCACTGATAAGGAGGTCAGTGATGGAGTAAGAAACTATCGACCAGAGCGTGCTGAGAATTCGGAGGGAGGAACCCTTGAATTGCTGTCTGGGATAAAAGACAGTGGCAGTAGCAGGTGGGGGAAAGGAGAATCGCCCACAGCTAGTAGCACTGGATCCACTCTAGTTGGCGATTTTACGCAAGTTAGGTGAAGCAAGGTATCTTTATACATAACGGCTCTACACAGAGAAGGCGGAAACGCTCATGGACGCCGTAGGACGGAAAATTCGAACCCTCAATTCGAAGATTGCAATAGACAGAACATGTATGCGAATAACCTTTGGAATAAAAAACAATAGACTAGAAAGTACTCGTGAGTTTAACGCCTAAGGTTTAGCGCAGACCGGAGGATCAAGGCTTGGTTGCATGCAACCCTGACTGGTTAAACTCATGAAGAAATCAATAATATTGTAATTACCTGGTTATGATTGTAGTGTATCTGTATACACCGGGGTCCCTACACACACTATGGTCTTAACCACTGAACCACTTTGCCGTCAACATTTCTACAGTTAACGGCTACAATAGAAAACCTATCATAATCCATCAAAAATCACAATAGATAACCGTTATTTGCATACTGAATGGACAGCCACACAACAGACCGTATTAAAATCCACATTTTTCATACTTCGGTACCTGTAAAGAATTAGGCTCGAGCGTTATGACCATTTTTCCTTCAAGGTCGGATAGGTATTCCTCAGGAGGAGTACACTCAAGTTCAGATGGGGTACACTCAAGCTCATCTGAGGTACATTCAAAGGTTGAATGTGGGCATCTGGATATGGCGGAGCAGGAGATGGTAAAGAAATTTCTCCAGGAATATGAGGACATATTCGCTTAAGAGGGTAGACCGCTAAAAGCTAAGGCAGAGTGATTGCATAGACACGGGAGATGGGAAAGACATTTCTCCAGTACACCTTACATGGGGGAAAATCAGTGATACATCGGATTTTTAGAAGATTAAACATCATATTAGAAAGAAATAGAAAACTGACAGAGAAAGGGTTAGTATAATTCAGTATAGGTATTCTAAAACATTAAAAAGCAGTAAATGTTCATAGTAATAATAATTTGCTTAAAACGAAATAAGATTCAAAGTAATAATTTGCATTCAAAGGTACATTGAATATATACAGTTTTCTTTTCTCTCTTGTGTTTTGTTGAAATATTAAAGTATTCTATTTTTTTTTTAAATATTTTTTTTTAAATAATGTGTAACATACGTAAGTGACTTTTATTTGCCAGGATGATAATACAGTTTTTTTTCATTATTTTTCTCTCTCTCCATTTGTTAAAGAAATTATTTGTTGCTCTGAGCTAAGTAAAAATAATGATAACGATTATTTTCAAGTATTTTATTTTTCAGATTGAACTAAACATTTTTTTTTTGGTTTATTTATTTTTTTTGTCTAATTTGGTTATTAATTTTTTGGTTATTAAAATCTTATTTGTTTAACATAACTAACATCGTTTTAATTTTGAATGATTGTTCTGTTTGTTTCATTTAATCTAATTTATCTATTTTAATTTTCAGGTGGTTTTTATAAATTCATTTCATTATTAATTTTTTTCCAGATAATATTATCTATTTAGATAATTAAAATATATTTCTGTTTATTCAGCAGTTATAGGTATATACAAATCTTTTTATTAATTTTTTGCTACACAGGTTTTTGAAATCAGCTGTTGGCAGGAAAAGAAGTTAGTTTACTACTAAGAGGCAATAGCTACCTTAAATATTTAATTTTGTTAGATTTCCAGGTATATAATATACTGTTTGACCAGCGGATCTGAAGCTACGGAAGGAATGCGAGAAAAAAAATCGATATTGCCACGTTTATCTATAAAATTGCAAAATTGCCAGACATGAACTATAAATTTAATATATTTTTATTATATATAATGTGTTTAGCATATTCTGACGTATATTACTAAGGAATTTTAACGTGGTTCATATTGTTCGATATGTTTTATTTAATAACATATTTCTTTCATTCTGTATAATCTGCTTATTACGAAAGTTGAGATTTTTCAACGATATAATTGGCAAACCGGCATCGCCGCGCATGGCCGCCTATTCATCGAACATGATTGGCGAAGTACGTCACAGGATTTGTTACCACGCAGTTGCCATGGCTTTTGCGCCTTTCCTATTCGCTTGCTTTATCCCCAACCAAAGAATATCTTAATACCCTAGAAGTCTCGTCTCGCATCAAAATCTGACCTGTCGATGGGGCCTCGCTTTGGCGAGCGAGGCCCCAACTTCGTGGAGCCTCGCTATTTTGCTCGGAATTGAACGAATAGACGCGCGGCGTTGCCTTGTTTTGTGTGTACTTTCTTGAATAGTTTTAACACAGGTTTTAAATTATAGTTTTAAATTTTATCTATTGCTATAATCAGTCTTTCCGTTCTCCGCACTCCGCCAGTTTAAATATAATATTATCTTATATAATTCCCGTGTTACAGTTTTGGTTAGCGTACTCCTCCGAAACGGCTTAACCGATTTTGATGAAATTTTATATGTATATTCAGTAGGTCTGAGAATAGGTAGTTATATATTTTTATACCCATAAATGATGAGGTAGTCCACCCCCATTTTTTATTTTGTGAAAAACAATATTTTAATTTTTTTAACTGACATTAAAAATACAAACAACCTAAATTTTCACCGTTCTACCATCATCCCCTATTTTTTAACAGGGATTGTTTTTTAAGATTTTTTATTACCATCTCCGAAACGGCTTAACCGATTTTGATGAAATTTTATAAGTATATTGAGTAGGTCTGAAAATAGGTTGTTATATATTTTTTATACCCTTAAGTGATAAGGGTAGCCGAGAGGGTAGCCCACCCTCATTTTTTTATTTTTGGAAAAAAAAAATATTTTTTTTATTTGGCCTTAAAAAATACAAACAACTCTAAATTTTCACCGTTCTACTTTCATCCCCTATTTTTTAATAGGGGTTGTTTTTTTAATTTTTTGTTACCATCTCCGAAACGGCTTAACCGATTTTGATAAAATTTTATATGTATATTCAGTACGTCTAAGAATAAGTTGTTATATATTTTTTATACCCTTAACTGATAAGGGTAGCCGAGAAGGTAACCCACCCTCATTTTTTTAGTTTTGAAAGAAAAAATGTTTTTATTTGGCATTAAAATACAAACAACCTAAATTTTCACCGTTACCATCATCCCCTATTAAAAAATAGGGATTGTTTTATTTTTTTAGTTGCCATCTCCGAAACAGCTTAGCCAATTTTGATGAAATTTTATAAGTATATTAGTAGGTCTGAAAACAGGTTGTTATATATTTTTATACCCTTAAGTGATAAGGGTAGCCCACCCCATTTTTATTTAAAAAAAATATTTTTATTTTTATTTGGCATTAAAAATACAAACAAACCTAAGTTTTCACCGTTCTACCATCATCCCTATTTTTAACGAGGGATGTTTTTTAATTTTGTTACCATCTCGAAACGGCTTGATCGATTTTGATGAAATTTTATATGTATATTCAGTAGGTCTGAGAATACGTTATCTGTTTTTATACCCTTAAGTGATAAGGGTAGCCCACCCCATTTTTTTATTTTTGAAAAAAAATATTTTAATTTTTTTATTTGTCATTAAAAAATACAAACAACCCTAATTTTCACCGTTCTACCATCATCCCTATTTTTTAATATGGGTTGTTTTTTAAAGGTTTTGTTACCATCTCCGAATTTTTGTATATTCAGTAGGGGAAACTGGGGTAAGATGACGATTGGGGTAAGATGATTAATGCCAAAAATTTTCCGTATAAATAAATATTTTGATTTATGGAATTTGGCAACATCTAAAGCGTTGCATGCGGTATTAAGAGAAGACGGCCATTTGTCGCAGCAGTTTGTAGTTTAACGCACACGTGCCCGAATTGTTTTTCTCAACAGTTGTTATAATATTTTGGCTAAAGTTTTTAGTGGTTGTGCTTGTTAATGAGTAAGTACGATTTTCAATATTTTTACAAATAATATCCTGATATTAAGAGTAAACAACCAATGCTTGAATGTATTGATATTTTTGTTTCAATCTTAGGAAATAAATAAATAAGGTTATGTGTGCATGGGGGTAAGATGGCGGGGGTAAGATGACGACATCGTCATCTTGCCCCAAGATCGTCATTTTGCCCCATAAATATGTGTTATACCTTTTAGCGTCATAAATATCATTACTATGATATTGTTTTCATTACAGGATGCCGAGAAATTACAAACGAAAGACCAACCGTAGAAAATGGGATGACGATTCCCGTAGGTTAGCGCTGCAAGCTCTCGAACAAGGTACCTTATCTTGTAATGCGGCAGCTATTAGATACAACATTCCTGAGCCAACGCTGAGGCGATGCCGAAAAAAGCAACTTACAGGAGAAGAACTTCCACATCATGCGGGTCGATTTAATCAAACTTTTACACCTCAACAGACTGCAGAATTTGTTCAATATATCACCGTGGCCTTGGAATGACTTCAGTTCAAGTGCGAAAATTAGCTTTTCAATTTGCCGAGGAAAACAAAATACAACACAGATTTAATCGCGAAACCAAAACAGCAGGAGTTGATTGGTTTAACGGGTTTAAAGCAGCCAACCGTCTTAGCCTGAGAAACCCAGAAGCCACATCTGTTGCTCGTCTTAGAGGATTCAACAAAGTGCAGTTGAATCTTTTTCTATCCTTAGAGGTTAAAGAAAAATATAATTTTACTCCTGATCGCATCTATAATGCCGACGAATCCGGTCTATCTACAGTGCCAATGAAACTACCAAAAATTTTAACGCCTAAAGGACAACGTCGAGTAGCCAAAATTGTATCCGCCGAAAGAGGCCGCACAACCACTTTAGTTTGTTCTATGAATGCTGTAGGTTCTTATGTTCCGCCTTATTTCGTATTCGCTCGTCAACGAATGAAACCTGAACTGTTAAATGGCTGCCCACCTGGATCGCAAGCAACGGCACAAAGTTCCGGATGGATGACGGCTGATAGTTTCCTGGCATATCTAAAACATTTTGTTAGATACGCAAAGCCTTCCGTTGATGACCCAGTGTTGTTATTGGTCGACAACCATAGCTCACACATTTCACTTCCAGGGATAAACTTCTGTAGAGAAGATGGAATTATTCTGGTGGGATTTCCACCTCACACAACGCATAAATTACAACCATTAGAGGTTTCTTTTTTCGGCCCCCTAAAAACCTACTACAATCAAGTGTGTGATGCGTTTCTGGTCAATCATCCTGGAGTAGTAATTTCTGACAGAAATATCGGTCCGTTATTTGCCGAAGCTTACTGTAAAGCTGCTACAGTAAGTAATGCTGTGAAAGGGTTTAAAGCATGCGGCATCGAACCATTTAATCCCCTAATTTTCGATGACAACGATTTTGCTGCTGCAAGAACGACAGAACGCGATAATTCAGAAGAAGACTTTGCATCACCATCACCAAGAAAGAGAAAATCCACAACCACTCCTTTAACCATTGACATACAGTCAGATTCTGATGAAGACTTTCCTTTATCTATCCTGTAAAAAAAACTGAACCAAACACCAATGCAAAACAGTCGTGGATTAATTACAGCTAAGGAATTAGTTGAAGACAAATTAGAAAGCACTAAGCAAAAATTATTTGAAGATAACAAAAAGCTTTAAAACAAATTAGGCCAATACCCACAGCCGAAAGGGCATCCATAACTCGAAAAAAAATGTCTGCCTCAATTATTAGTAGCACGCCTGTAAAGGAAGCTTTGGAAATAAAACAAAATGAACAAGCAGAAAAAGAGATGAAAAAGAAAATTAAGATTGGAAAAAAGGCTATGAGAGACAAAACAAATGAAATTAAGGAGGAAAGGCAGAAAAGAAAAAAAACGTCAAGGACCCATACGTGACTACGATAAGGCTGGCCCAAGTGGTCTTAATTCTAATAATCAGAAGACATCTGATGGAAGTCACTACATGTGTCCGGGATGTAATGAATTATATACAGATCCTCCAATTGAAAATTGGATCCAATGTTCATCTTGTTCGTTGTGGTGGCACGAGGAGTGTTCTTCTTTTGAAGATGGCGATTTTTATTGCAGATTTTGCATTTAAGTCATCTTACCCCAGTTCGTCATCTTACCCGTTATATGAGGTAAGTTGACTAAATTGACTTGTTTTTTGTTTTTGCTTTTTGAAAAAAATGATTTAGTTTATGTGATTTTTTTTTTTTTTTTTTTTTTTTTTTTTTGTTTGTAGTTTGTAGTTTCAATATTGTTTCTTAAAATAAATATTTTCAAAGTTGTTGAATTTTCCCTTATCGTCATCTTACCCCAGTTTCCCCTACGTCTAAGAATAGGTTGTTATCTGTTCTTATACCCTTAAGTGATAGGGTAGCCGAGAGGGTAGCCAACCCTCATTTTTTTTTTATTTTTGGAAAAAAAAAATGTTTTTTATTTGGCCTTAAAAATACAAACAACTCTAAATTTTCACCGTTCTACCATCATCCCCTATCTTCTAATAGGGGTTGTTTTTTGATACCATCTCAGAAACGGCTTGGCCGATTTGATGACATTTATTATGTATATTGAGTAGGTCTGAAAATAGTTTGTTGTCTATTTTTATACCCTTAAGTGGTAGGGTAGCCCACCCCATTTTTTTATTTTTGAAAAAAAAAAAATATTTTAATTTTTTATTTGGCATTAAAAATACAAACAACCCTAAATTTTCACCGTTCTCATCCCCTATTTTTTAACAGGGTTTGTTTTTAAAATTTTTTTTTATTTTTAGAAAATATATATATAAGATGGATTTTGATAAAATTTTATGTATATTCAGTACGTCTAAGAATAGGTTGTTATCTATTCTTATACCCTTAAGTGATAAGGGTAGCCGAGAGGGTAGCCACCCTCATTTTTTATTTTGGAAAAAAATATTTTTTTTATTTGGCCTTAAAAATACAAACAACTCTAAATTTTCACCGTTTTACCATCATCGCCTATTTTCTAATAGGGGTTGTTTTTTTTGATACCATCTCCGAAACAGCTTGGCGATTTTGATGAAATTTATAAGTATATTAATTAGGTCCGAAAATAGGTTGTTATATATTTTATATACCCTTAAAGTGATAAGGGTAGCCCACCCTCCATTTTTTATTTTTGGAAAAAAATATTTTATTTGGCCTTAAAAAATACAAACAACTCTAAATTTTCACCGTTTTACCATCATTCCCTATTTTCTAATAGGGGTTGTTTTTTTTGATACCATCTCGAAACGGCTTTGACCGATTTTGATAAAATTTTATGTATATTCAGTACGTCTAAGAATAGGTTGTTATCTATTTTTATACCCTTATGTGGTAGGGTAGCCAACCCTCATTTTTATTTTTTGAAAAGAAAAATGTTTTTATTTTTAGTTGGCATTATCATCTAAATAACCTAAATTTTCACCGTTCCACCATCATCCCTATATTTTAATAGGGGTTGTTTTTTTAATTTTTGTTACCATATAAAAGTAGCTAGACCGATTTTGATAAAATTTTATATGTGTATATTCAGTAGGTCTGGTTGGTTTGGTCACAACCTATTCCTAGGTTGTTATCTATTTTTATACCACTAAGTGATAAGAGTGGCCCACCCCAACTTTTTTTTTTATTTTTAGACAAATTTTATTTTAATTGTTTTGAGAGTGCTTATTTTTAGGGGTGCATGTCCAAAATTTTCTTCTGGGTACACACTTTCATCACTTAAGGGACCTCTGTACAAAATTGCATACTCCTAGTCCTGGGCAGTTTTACATAAGTATACAAATTTTTACCCTTAGTTTTACCCCCTTAAGGAATGAATTCCAAAAATCGCTCTAATTATTCAATTACGCTACATAATAAACCTCTGTGCAAATCAACATCATATTCCTTGAACAGAATTTATTGTTCCAGAACGTTCAACCCCTCATTTCACACCCTTAGAGGGCGAATTTCCAAAAGTTGCTTCTTAGTGCTAAATTACGTTACATAAGGAACGTCTGCAAAATTCATACTTCTACAACCGATTTTAACAAATTTTTGTACAAATTTTCATCCCTTATTTTTTAGGGATGCATGCCTAAAATTCGCTTCTAGGTACTCACTTTCATCATTTAGGGGACCTCTGAACAGAATTTCATACTCCTAGTCCTAGAACAGTTTTACATAAAATTATACAAATTTTCACTAGTTTTGCACAAGGAATGAATTCAAAAATCACTCCTAATTATTCAATTGTACTACATAAAGGAACCTCATTCTCATATTCCTTGAACGGAATTTATTGTTCCAGAACATTCAACCCCTCATTTCACCCCGTTACAGGGCGAATTTCCAAAAATTGCTTCATAGTGCTAAATTATGTTACATAAGGAACGTCTGCAAATTCCTTACAAAACCGATTTTTAACAAATTTTTGTACAAATTTCATCCCTTATTTTTTAGGGGATGCATGCCTAAATTCGCTTCTAGGTACTCACTTTCATCATTTAAGGGACCTCTGAACAGAATTTCATACTCCCTCTAGAACAGTTTTACATAAAAATTATACAAATTTTTCCCCTTAGTTTTACCCCCTTAAAGAATGAATTCCAAAAATCACTCCTAATTATTCAATTACACTACATAAAGAACCTCTATGCAAATTCTCATATTCCTTGAACAGAATTTATTGTTCCAGAACGTTCAACCTCTCATTTCACACCCTTAGAGGCAGATTTCGAAAAATAGCTTCTTAGTGCTAAATTATGTTACATAAGGAACGTCTGCAAAAGTCATACTTCTAAAACCGATTTTAACAAATTTTGTACAAATTTTCATCCCTTATTTTTTTAGGGGATGCATGCCTAAATTCGCTTCTAGGTACTACTTTCATCATTTAAGGGACCTCTGAACAGAATTTCATACTCCTAGTCCTAGAACAGTTTTACATAAAAAATTATACAAATTTCACCGTTTTACCCCCTTAGGAATGAATTCCAAGAAATCACTCTAATTATTCCATTACGCTACATAAGGAACCTCTGTGCAAATTCTCATATTCATTGAACAGAATTTATTGTTCCAGAATGTTCAACCCCTCATTTCACACCCTTAGAGAGCGAATTTCCAAAAATTGCTTCTTAGTGCTAAATTACGTTACCTACATAAGGAACGTCTGCAAAATTCATACTTCTACAACCGATTTTAACAAATTTTTATTAAGTACTGTCCTGGGGGATGCATGCCTAAATTCTTCAAAATTTATACTGTAATTTTGTTTTTTTTTTTTTTTTTTTTTTTTTCTAGTCCTAGAACGGATTTTACATAAAATTATACAAATTTTCACCCCTAGTTTTACCCCCATAAGGAATGAATTCCAAAATCACTCTAATTAAGTTACGCTACATAAGGAACCTCTGTGCAAATTCTCATATTCCTTGAACATAATTTATTGTTCCAGAACGTTCAACCCCTCATTTCACACCCTTAGAGGGGGAATTACCAAAATTTAATGCTAAATTACGTTACAAAAGGAACGTCTGCAAAATTCATACTTCTAAAACCGATTTTAACCTTTTGTACAAATTTTCATGTCTTATTTCTAAGGGATGAATGTCAAAAATTAGCTTCTAGGTACTCACTTTCGTCATTTTAGAAACTCTGTACCAAATTTCATACTCCTAGAACTAACATTTTTTTGTACAAAATTTCACCCCCAGTTTCACTACCCTTAGGCTATACATTTCCAAAAATCGCTTATCAATGTTCAAATGCGCCACATCTGTGCAAAAGTTCATACTCCTAGTAGGTACAGATTTTTTTTTTTATATACTTACATCCTTTTATCTAATTACACCCCCTTATGGGTCGAATTTTAAAAATTACTTAGTAGTGATCATCTTAGAGAACGAATTAATATTCTCCGTATTTACTCCAGTTTCCTATTAGCACAGATAACACATAATCATACTAGTTAATTTTTATTGGAATAGAAGTAATTTTTTATTAGAAGGTACAAAAAAATTAAAAATACAAATTTTATTTCACAGCTACGTTTTTTTTTCATAGTCTTAGGATGCCTCATGTAATATCGAATATACGAAATATATAATCAATACATATTTCTTTAAATATCGAGAAATAAAATATATTTAGCAACACCGTACAAAGAAATATCGCCGCGCGTAGTCCTCAAAATTTAAAATATTAGCATTTTCAGGCTTCGATTATGTTCAAAAGCGCCACCGTATGACAAATCACTAAGCTTCCACACGAGAGTTCTTAAAACTATAATATTCTTTAACTTCACGGTCTCTTCTGAAAAGAGTAGAAATATTAAGACTTATTGAAATATCCAGTGGCGGTGTCATTTTTTGATCATTATTACTTTATTTAATTATTTTTATACCGGTTATCCTAAACTTTATTCCTATATTTTCGTATGATATTTGATAGTTAGGTTGTGTTTATTGTTTTGTTATCTTGTTATAATGTTTTTCGTTCGTAGTTTTTTAATTATTAATATCAAGTTTGATCGTATATTTGTGTT